TGTTTTTTATTTTGTTGAATCCTCCTTCAGTTCCATGAGTTCTGCTACCTTCTTTTTTAAGGTATTAATCTCTTCGTAAATTTCCTCCTTCATATCCTGGATAGTTTTTCTCATTTCATTGTGTCATCTGAGTCACCTTGTATCTCATTGAGTTTATTTAAGATTGTTGCTCAGAATTCCTTTCAGTCATTTCAAGGGTTTCCTGCTCAATGGAATCTGGTACTTGAGAATTATTGTATTCCTTTGGTGGTGTAATATTTTCTAATTTTTTTTAAATTTCTAGTATGTTTACATTGATGTCTGGTCATGTGGTAGAGTAGTTGCTGATTCTCTTACTCTGGAGTGGGCATTGAGGAGAGAGACTTTCTCCTGTAGACGTGTTTCATATTGACCGTTGAGTAGGGTGTTTTAGTATTGGTTCTGGGTAGACACAATAGTGTAGTCTCTGTGTGGGTCCTTTGGCCATATTCAATGTCGGAGTTGCGTGTGAGTGCCTCCATGGCCTAGGCACTGGGGCACTAATGATTCCTTGCTGAGGTTAGTGACACTGTGTTGGGTTGTTGAGGATGTGGGCAAGCTCTCAAGTTCTTGGGAGAAGTGCCTGAGTGCTCTATTGCTCTTTGGCTGAGGTAGGTGACCCTGGGCAAGCTTGTTGGCTCCCCAGCTAGCGTCCCATGGTCCTGATGGGTGCACTGGGGTTTATTGGAGCTCCTCAGTTTGAATCAGTGACCATGGGTGGGGTTTCTCTTTCCTCTTTTCTGTAGGCAGAGGCTCCTCTTGGGTCATTGTTTCCCTTGGTTGGGGGATGGATTGGTGGTGATTGGTAATTTTCTTCCTTAGTATATTTGGTTTTCCTGGGTTTCTGCACTGTAGTGGATTGCATTATGTCCCCACAAAACTCATTGAAGCTTGAATTGTTTCCCAAGCTTTATGTATTAGAAACTTAGCCCCTACTGTGATTGTTAATAAGAGGATGGGAAATCCTCTTATGGTAATTGAAAGGTGGAGCCTTGAAGAGGTGATTGGCTTGTAGGATGGCACAGTAATGAATGGATTAAAAATGGTGGTCAGGGGTGTGGTTCTGAGAGCTTTAAAAGAAGAGTAGAGTCTGTCTTCCTCTCTCTCTCTTGCTGTCTCTGCTTCCACCATCTTGCAATGTGAGACCCTTGGCTCACTGTTGCTACCACCAGATGGATTTTTGACTTCCCAGCCTCAGAAAGTGTAAGCAATAAATTTCATTTTCTTTATAAATCACCCAGTACCAGGTGTTATTTTATAAGCAACACAAACGGACTAATACACGCACTCATGGAGGGTTCTGTATATGTCTCTCCGTGGATCAATATAGTCACATGGGTTATGCACCTACCTCTCACCCCAGGTGTGCTACTGTGTATGGTGGCGTAATTCTCCCTGTGGGTTTTGTAACTGTTGTAAGTCTGTGCTTCCCCAGCTCTTTCCCTGGGCTCTGCTGGTGACTCTCTTTGTGTCAGTGCAGTCAAGTGTTTGGTGGGTCACCTGCATGGCAGCAGTGGCTGCTGCTGTGGCACTGAGCCACTGTTGTGGTGGCAGCGACTGCAACAGACCATTCGTGTGACAGTGGTGTCTGCAGCAGCAGTGGGGGCTGCCCTTGGCTCCTGAGGTTTTCTGTACATGCCTACCATCTGTCAGGTGGGGCTGCCCATGGCTGTTGAGATCCCTGCGCACTCCTCATATCTGTTGGGTGGGAGCTGTCTGTGGCTGCTTAAATCTAATTCTTTTTTTTTTTTTTTCCTTTTTGTTTTTTTTACTGGCCGGTAACGGGATCGCAACCCTCGGTGTCTCGCCCGTACCGGGGACCGGCAACGGTATCGCAACCCTCAGTGTTGCGCCCGCGCCACGCTCAGCCAGTGAGCGGAAACCGGTCACCACATGGGATCCGAACCCTCGGTGGGAGCGCCGCCGCGCTCCCAAGCGGCACACTCTCCAGTGCGCCACCGGGCCAGCCCATTTAGTCTAATTCTTAAATAGCTGTTTTTCATTCAACCATTCCAGAACTAGCAAAGTTGTACTGTTTTTTTTTTTTTTTTTTTTT